GGGGGGGGAACAGAAGAGTGTTTCAAAGATGTAAGAGACAGACACAAAGGTAGAACAAAGGTGAGGTGAGTACTGTGAAATATACGAATATGGCATAGAGTGAGATGATGGTAGTTTGAAGCCAGAGGACAACTGCCGAATAATAGACTTTTTGCCGTATGAATATACGTTGCCCAGGGTGACCACGTGGAGGTAAGTCTATCGCACTCTCCATGATAGCTATCATAACACCTGCCATTTGATATAAACAAATATATCAGGAGTAAAATTAATTCTTTTCAGTATAAATGTTTTAGAATACACCCAAAAAAATATTTTTTAAATCTTGCAGGAAACAAAATATGTTCAAATAATATACAGACATGATTCAATGCAGGCGTCCGATGTCATGCTCCAATTTTATGAGTCTTATTAGATGACGCTAAGCGAATGGGCGAAATCTGAGGTAGTAAAACCTTGTCTAGTTAAACTGCATTTAACATGATTTCACATCTAGAGAAAAGGGGGCATTTATAACCCTTATAAAGGGCATTTTTTACAGAGATAAACCGTCGAGAACGCGAATAGTACACATATTCATAATACTAGGTAATTGGATTTCTGCACATCCTACAGTCATTATGAAAATGAATAAATCTAAGTAAACACGTGATAATTTTCATTTATCATGTTCCATATATTTATTTATTATCCTCTTCTGTGTAAATGAAAAGTGAGGTAGGTCAAAATACAGTGATTACGAACATTTTAAATACTACTCGAATAATCGAGCCCAAACATAAACAAATTGAGAGGCTGAATAGATGTGAATCTGAAAGAGTTAAAAGATTATGGAACAGCCATTTCTGGATATAGCGCATTTAAAATTGAGTATTGTATGCATATTCAAAGGAATTGAATGACAGTGTCAGACATCTTGGGTGAAATCAAGTAAAATACGTGGACAAGCATGACTGAATGTAGTTAATGCCAAAATCAAATTATTTTTCGACTATCTAACTTCAATTTAATCGCATGTCAGCTGGGTTATCTCCAAACTCGTCTATTTCTTTGACTGTCAAATCCATGTGTTGTATTAAAAAGTACAAACAATAAATAAGTAGCGCTTCAGAGTAGCCCACTCTGCCAATATATTGGCTCAAACCTCTACGTGTTCTAATTATCGATTTGATATCTACTATCAACTATTCACAAAAACGATTACATATTGCATCTGATACTTCTCCTGCTTCTTTTCATCATCTTTTTTCTAATACTTCATTTATTGTATCTAGCTTGGCTAAATTCAGTACTTGATCATGGTATAAGTCGTTGTAATACGCTAGACTTTTAGATTACCCGTTACGAAAGGTGATTTCCAAGGATATTTATGCTCAGCTTTTAAATTTGACCATCTGTAAGTAAATGCTGCTTTATGATTCTATAAATTCAGCGGTCGAAACAGTTGGAACGCAAAATATGTTTCAGAAACAATTATTTTAATATGTTTTTAAAATGATTATATCATTTTGCAGTATACGCAGTAGCATATATTAAAGTCACCTCTCGATAATTTGGGGCTCTGAAATTTCAAGTAAAGCACTACAGTTTCAATAAGGGCATGACAAAAATTATACCGCCGTACTGTTACAAAATAGCACAAAAAATAAATTTTGAAATAGTACTACGTAAATATGTAACTTTAAAAATAATAAATTATCTATCTTTAAGGGTATAATACTGTTATCTTACTAACACCAGCGAAAATAATTTGATAATTAGAACGCAGCACAACTAACGATGACGGAGTGCTCTAACTTTTCCTTAACAAGGCGAAATCAATCAAAGTAGAAAAATGATAATTGACAAAAACAATATTTATTATCATGGGCAAAGTTAATGAATACATGTTTAAACATAAAGCAAATAATCATGTGAAATTTGAAATTTCCATTGAAAACCATGATGGCATTTCTTGCTAGCCATAAAAATTTCTCCTTTAAAATATAATCTATAAAGTCCATATTAAGAGAGCACACTTTTTGGTATTTCTTCCTTTATAACTTTGCAATTTGGATCTTAAAAAATTTTGTAATTGACAGCAAGGTTTTTCACGCATAGCAAAATTGATAAAATTTCATATTCCTTTATCTTCATTTGCTTGAACTAAATTGAGCTCAAGGGACTATTTGTGAAATTCGAGCAGTTACACTTAAAGCAAATGTTGCTGCTTATTAATGTATCTAGAAAAAATTTAAATCGAATTTTAATTCAATAAAATATGGATAAAATGATAGATAATTTCATAGCGGACTAATGACAGTCTATTAACCAATCAGAGTGTGAAGTAATACAGAGATAGCTTAGAACATTTTATTTACAACGGATTTGATAATGGATAAAGCCATTCGAGGTTTACAATTTTCCTAACCATAATTAATTATGGAAGAATATTAAACAAAAATTTTGATGTATTTCCATGAAACGGAAAAATTGTGGAGACAACATAGCCTTTTTAAGAATTTTGCGTATAAGAAATGGTGAAAAATTACTATTATTAGAGGTGATAAAATAAGCATGATGATAAATGTTTAAATAACTTTCAAATGGAACTTATCACAAACATATTTTACAAAAGATCTTTTAGCCAAGTAAACACAATCACAATCATAAATTTCTAAATGAATACTTAACCAGAATAAATCAACAATCTCAAATATCCTTAATTAAAAAATAATTTTTGAATTAAATAACTTGAACGTGATTTAATTTTACTTAGCTATTAAACCACAACTTCTTCTTGTTTTATCATATCAATGGAAATTGCGCCTTCCAATATGGCTATGCAGTCTGGTTATTTGCGTCTTAGCTTATGGGACGTTTGTCCTCATTTTGTGAATTGACATCGCTCTATAGCTATATTATTAAGACAAAAATCGTTTCATTGGTTGCTGCGATTTTCAATAATTGTTCAGTGCCGTCCTCAAATCAATTTAAAGACGGGCGTCAATTCTAGAGTCCGATCAAATTCTCTGTTGAGGAAAATTATGAAAAGTATGTGATCTATCTTTTCTTAATCCGCCTTAATAGCTTCTTCTGGTCATTCGTCGACGCTCCTCACGAATCGGATACCAACAAATGATCACGATCAATCTAAACAGGATAATAAGACCCGAAACACTGAGGTAATTTCAATGCATATTTTATCAATCTTAGTGGGTTGCAAGCGCTTTACGGGTGTGTGGAAAGTGGTCTGAGCAATTGAGTTCCAAGGGTAAAGTCTACTATTACAATTGCGAAACATATACTTCCCAATGGCAAAAGCCTATCGATTGGAATCTTCCCGATATGACTCAAAGTGAACTTCATCAGGTTATTAGTGATCGACAAGGTGGGGCTCAAGGTAATAAGCGTCCCTATTCAGTGATAAGCCAATCCGATCGTTCAAAATCACGTCCTCAGGATGACACTTCTCCCAAGAGAGCCAAGACCGCTACTGTAGCAAAAAATAACGTCGATCGATCTAAAGGGGAGAATTCGTCACTTCAACGACCCGATTCCCATAATTCTCATCGGGGTGCTCCTAAAAATAATGACCACACAAGTAAATACCTTCTATACTTGCTAATATTTACTTTAGGCCACGGATCAGTGCAACGATTACTTACAAATATTAAGGATTCTATTTCTAGTACGTGTGCAGCTAATTGTCGCGAAAGTGAAAATATCCGGGATTGTGGCACTTCTTTACCCTCTAGTCAAAATAAAGTGAGCTTTGATAAATAATAACTAATTCATTTTAGATTCACCATAACTCCACTCACAATGATGTTGATCGAATTGATTCCCATTCCCCACGGGTAAATTTATGCACTCTTCTTCATAACACTTTGTTCTCTAGCCTCGTGTTGTGGCTCCTTCCAAGCTAGCTTATCAAAGTCCTCTGACCGCTAATGCCGCTCACTCTGGACATCCGGTAAATAGTGAAAACCAGTCCGCATCTCGAACATCAAGCCCCTTCCCTCCCCAACAGCACGGACTTTCGAATGATAAACCGGTTTTGAGTAACGGTTTCTCTTTATTGCCTGATCCCCACTTGAAAGACGCTAACGCTTTGAACACAAAAGAAAGGCGTCCATCTGTGTCTGACAGGCAATGTAAGTTGTCTAGGTTTTCCTTGGCGCTTCAGTTGTAGTTTTCTTTGCGGTGACCTATTTGATCTTTGCTATCCGAAGTCAAGTATTTAGCTGCCTTCGTTGTTTTACGCTCTATTTGCAGCATATTTGCATGACGATTTGTGATAATCGTGTTTAATCAGTAACATTCAACATTTATTATCCATAACGGGCATTCAATTAAGCTTGAAAACAGAATTTTCAGTAACTAATGTACTTAAATTTTCCAGTTTAACTCATACGATTGTCATCTATGCTGGCTTAAGTTCATTCAGAGGTCTTTGTTTCCACACTTTGTCCGTAGTAAAACGTCTCTATATATGAACTAATCAATATATCCTATCGATCTCACAAGTATGTTTCATGATTAGATGAGATATTTTGTACTCTTATTTAGTTGTAGTTTCATAAGGGAAGTCACGCTCTCTAGTCTTGAAGCTTTTGCCTATCCCCTTCACAGCAGCTAAAATTTAATTGGTTGCTTCCGTTCGATACTAATGGGGCATTTTCAGTAGATGAGTTGTATTCTAATTTCGTTTGTAAGGTATGGGGCTCCCGTTTTGGAAAGAGGTTAGTTTTTTGCATTTAATGTGCTAATTGATAACCATATTTAGGGTTACTAGCCAAACAATTTGACTGTTTCCTCGCAGATTATGGTGCTTTGAGCATACATCAGTATCTGCTTTTCCACCGCATACTTAGTTGGCCAAGTCGTTTTAATAGTATTTTTTGCACAGTTTGTATGATTTCAGACTTTCCTTCTAGTTTGTGGTGTTCTCAAATGAAATCGAAATTCTCTTTTCCGTGAGACTTCTTATCTCGTTAAAACTGATAAGTTCAAGCCTTTGTTTACTTCAACTTGTCTTATAGTTTATTTTTACGTCAGCTTTATCACAAAACTTGGTTATTCTGAACCGTCACTCCTGTTTTATCTTCAAATTTCAACGATCTCCATATTATCCCGTTTTTAATGATTTTCTAAGCGCATTTTTACTGTCGCAGTATTTCTTGCTGAATGTTAACCAAAATGCTCTTATTGGTCTTTCATCAGCTAGGCTTTGACCTAATAAGTATACCTTCTAGTACTTAGTTTGCTGTCAATTGTATTTTGGCCTTGTTCGCAATAGGACGTATAACTAAAAAGACAGTAAAATAAGCTTTCCTCTTGTGTCTCATTAAAATTACGATGTTTGAATTATATTTTTCTTTGTTTTTTTCATTTCTGTTAATGACTTCCTTTTGAGCTTAAGTTTGGAAATTGAAGTGGTGTTTTACATTCGTGTAGCTTTCTCGGATCTTCTCTCTTCAAAAGGTCTCAATGCCTCATTTCAGCTTCTGTTTAGTCGGATGTTGAGTTAGTATTAATATGATCAGTTAGAAGTCGTTTCGTCTCGTGCGCTTATCCTGCGTGTGAACTCAGTTCGTGTCTGTTCCAACTAATCTTAGCCAATGCTAATTTCGCTCAGTCATTAGCGAACCTAGATGGTTTTATGTGCTCTGGTTATAATCTTTTACCACAATTTGATATTAAATGTGGGTCTGCTCATGGATTTAATCCCACGCAAAACTGTCTCATTTTTATAGCTAATTTCATCAGCAATGATTTGTATCGCTGTTGATAAAGATGCTATCACTTTGGAGTAACGGTTAGAAATGTGTCGAAGAATAAAATCTTGTCAATCGTATCAGCTAACCCTTCATTTTCTTACTTCAGCTTATATCTGGAAGCGCTTAAAATGATGGTCGATTTTATCTATTTTACGTTTTAGTTAACGAATAGTAAAGGTAAATCATCGAGTTTATAAGTACTTTCTATCTTTTCCCAAAGAAGGAACTAGTGAATTTCTTGGTCTTGGCCTCCCTTCTGAAAGTTTACCAAACCAGGAAAACCTCTCCAAATTAAGTTAAACGTACTGAGGTCACTATGAGGGCTTAATAGGGCACTTTGAGAGTTATTATTATTCTCGGTTGTTTTTTATTCTTTATTGAACTTATCCGCGATTGAATTTTCCCGCCTATGAGTTTTGGATTTTATTTCAAAGGGAGCGTTATTTTTATCTATTGTAAACTGTTATAATCCCTTTAATCAGGTTCTTAACGCAAATTTATTAATTTTTTAAGAAATTTCTCTTCAAAACTTGTATCTGGTGTTGTATATATTTACATCCTTAAGTGAAATATTTTGCTTCTGTTTTATCGCCCATGGGGCTTGTTCGTATGTGTGGTTATTTGCTTCCGAAAATTGTTTCATGAAATGGAATTTTGCGTTTAAACGCCCTGGGAGGGTTGTCGGAAAACTCCGCTAGTAGCAATTTTTGTTTCATAAAATAATCTGCGTCTATGTTTAATCTGTACTTCAGCCTCATCTCCATGTCGAACCAACCCCTTAAAACCGGATCAAGTCCTTCGAAATCTTGTGCCTGTTCTCTCCTATGTTATTGCATCAAGTAATAACAACCGGACTCCTCATGTTAATTCCAACAATTCCCGTTCGCAGCCCTCGGTCGTGAACCTTATTTCCTCTATCCTTGAGTCGCGTAAGTTGCTGAAATTCGTTAATTTGTATGTAATACATTTTTATGTATTCCTAAAATTAGTGATGCCAGTGTTTGTTTGTCAAATAAGGGTCACGAAGAAATTTTGGAGAATTGGACATTTAACAGGCTTGGTGTATTTATCTTGGAACTTTTTAATAGTATTTCGGTTTTGAAGGCGGGCATTACTTTAAGTTTGTTGTACTAGCTTCTTTACTGTTGGAGAAGTGTGGGCATTAAGGTGCAGTGACTTTTAATATCGATTTTTATATGATCGGTGTCTTCCTCTAATCTAAGTTTTGTTACGGTCATATACATAGGAAGTTTCTTTGGCTATTGAGCCTTAATCTGTATACTTAACTGTTTCAAAATTTTATACTGAGTTCATGTTATTAATATTAAGACTTGTTAAATTACTTTAGTGTGTAGTGGTAAAATTTATCCAACTTCTTTTTATGATCTTTACTTTTAGACAAAAAAATGGCCGATGGTCGCTCAGCGTCACATACCTCCTCTCCTGTGTCTAACAAGTATGTGTGCCGCGTAGC